TGCCTGTAATCCCCAGCACTTTGGAGAGGCGAGTGAGGGCGGATCACGACGTATTTGGGTTCTCTAGGCAGAACAGAACTATCCATGGCTCAACGTTGAAACCCTTCTCTACTAAAATACAAAAAATTAGCAGGCGACGTGCGGTAGCGGGCGCCTGGTCAGTCCCAGGCTCCTCGGGAGGCTTAGCAGGAGAATGGCGTGAACCCGGGGAGGCGGGCTTTGCAGTGAGCTGAGGATCGCGGCCATCTGCACTCCAAAAAGCCTGGGCGACAGAGCGAGACTCGCTCAAAAAAAAAAAATTAAGAAAAAAGCATCGCGGTCCCAGGGCATGACTGGTCATCGCTTTCTCAAACACAATATTAGAAGAAACGGCTCAAATGAAATACCTCAGGCGCTTGTATTATTTTTGCTAAATTTATACTGTTACTTTTTTTTTGAGACAGGGTGGTTGTTCTTGGGGGTGTAAGGTGAAGACCACCTCAGCCTCTCGAGTAGGTGGGACCACAGGCACACAACACCACACCTGAATAATTTTTGTACTTTTGTAGAGATGGGGTCTTGCTATTTTGCCCAGGCCGGTCTCGAGCTTCTGGAGTCAAGCAATCCTCCCACCTCAGCCTCCCAAAATGCAGGGATTACAGGTGTGAGCCACTGTACCTACTGCATCTCTGACTTCTCTTGTGGGAAGGCAGGCAGGCAGGAAGTAAGGCCTGTCCAGGCCACTCCGCGCCAGGTGTTATCAAGGGGTTAGCATACTGTCCTAATTCTCCTGATCATCTTTTCTTCTGTTTTTAGATTGACATTTGACTCACATACCACACATTTTAACCTTTTCAGTTACAGTTCAGGAGTACAGTTACGTGACTCCTGGCATGTTTGGAGTTGCGCAACCACTACCTTTATCTAATTCCAGAACACTTCCATCAGCCCTAAAAGAAATCCTGTCCAGGTGCAATGGCTCACGCCTGCAATCACAGCACTTTGGGAGGCCAAGGCAGGAGGACTGCTTGAGGCCAGGAGCTCAAGACCAGCCTGGGCAACATAACGAGACCCCGTCTCTGCAAAAAATATTTAGAAATTAGCCAGGCATGGTGGATGTGCCTGTATAGTCCCAGCTACTTGGGAGGCTGAGGTGGGAGGATCGCCTGAGCCCAGGAGGTTGAGGCTGCAGTGAGCCATGATTGTGCCACTGCACTGCAACCTGGGGGACACAGTGAGACCCTGTCTCAAAACAAAGCTAAGATCATGTCACCTAGGGGACAGTTACAGTGATGAGACGTCACAGACACCTGTGGTGCCTGCTTCAGAGGACCCAGCCCAAGGTTTCAAGAAACAAGAGCCCAAGTGTCAGAAAGAGGAAGCCACATGGAGGAACGCCCCAAGCTCCTGTCCAAACCCAGGGCCACACTCCTTTCACGGAACTTTTACTGCCGGGGCCACAGCGTGTGGGCTTGACTGGGCACCACCGACTTGGCACCGCCTTCTTGGCCTCCTGGATGGCTTCAGTCTGAACGGGGAGGAAGGAGCCATGCTCTGAGCCCGCCCAGTAGGAGCCAGGGGCCCACCCCAGTCTCCCTCCTCATGGCCACTGTGAAGAGCTCTCAGCCACACCCAGCTGCAGCGGGGGTCTCAGCTGGGGGGCGATTCTGCGCCCCAGGGGATACTGGGTGATGTCTGGGGGCATTTGTGGTTGTCATAACTGGGGGATGCTCCTGGCAGAGTGGGTGGTGGCCAGGGATGCTGCCCAGTGCCCTGCAGTGCCCAGGACACCCCACCCCAGAGGACAATCCGCCTTGAATGTCCACACTGCCGAGGGGGAAAAAGCTTGCCCTGTGAGTGGCAGAGCCAGGGACCTGACTGTTCTTGTTTGCTTTATTTATTTTTTGAGACAAAGTCTTGCTCTGTCACCCAGGCTGGAGTGCAGTGGCACAATCATAGCCCACTCTAGCCTCAACCTCCGGGGCTCAAGCAATCCTCCCACCTCAGTCTCCTGAGTAGCTGGGACTACTGGTGTGTGCCTGGCTAATTTTTGTATTTTTTTTTTCTTTTTTCTTTTTTGAGATGGAGTCTCGCTCTGTTGCCCAGGCTGGAGTGCAGTGGCGTGATCTTGGCTCACTGCAACCTCTGCCTCCCGGGTTCAAGGATTCTTCTGTCTCAGCCTCCTGAGTAAGTTGGGACTACAGGCGCCCACCACTACACCCAGCTAATTTTTTTTTGTATTTTTAGTAGAGACGGGGTTTCACCGTGTTGCCCAGGCTGGTCTCGAACTCCTGACTTCGTGATCCGCCCACCTCGGCCTCCCAAAGTGCTGGGATTACAGGCGTGAGCCACCGCGCCTGGCAATTTCTGTATTTTTTGTAGAGACGGGGGTCTTACTATGTTGTGCAGGCTGGTCTTAAACTCCTGACCTCAAGTGGTCCTCCCATCTTGGCCTCCCAAAGTGCTGGGATTATAGATGTGAGCCACTGAGCCTGGCTGTCTCCCTCTTTATTTTTTTTTAATTTGTTTTTTTTGAGACGGAGTCTCACTCTGTCGCCCAGGCTGGAGTGCAGTGGCTGCATCCACCCGTCTCGGCCTCCCAAAGTGCTGGGATTACAGGCTTGAGCCACCGCACCCCGCCCTTGTCTCCCTCTTTAATGAGTACTTTTTACAAATTGCCAACCGCATCACTAGTTAGTACACAGTGACTGGGTTGTCAGAGGTGCAAACATGTATCTGCCCACCCGTGTTTCTCCTGCTTGCCAGGGAGCACTTCCCTACACACTCATAAACTAACCCTACGGGGGTTCATGCCGCAGCCCTGTGAGGCTGGCAGGGCGGGTAGAAAGTGGACGCTCTCATTCCTGCTAAGTGATCATGGACCTTTGCTGTTATTAGTAACAGGCCTGGCATCTGCTGGGGCCCTGGAGGACCTGCTCTTGTGAAACTCATC